CATATCAGATATTTACATTACAATTCATAACAGTAGCAAAATTACATTTATGAAGTAGCAACGAAAATAATTTTATGGTTGGGGGTCACCACAACATGAGGAACTGTATTAAAGGGTGGGGGCATTAGGAAGGTTGAGAATCACTGCCTTAAGGCATATGACTGGTATTTCCCAGTAGATCATTCAAGGTAAAAAGTTAATTGGGGAATGTGTGTGTTTTATTTTTATTTTAGAAATAGTGATTAGTGTAAAAGTCAGACAATTGTTGTTTAAATGATCACCAGTGTACATTCAAGCTATGCCTCTTCTACTATGTAACCACTCCTCACTACCTTAAAGGCCCCTCAAGAGAATACTTGAGCTGAAAATGTACTAACTTCTCTGTATAAAATAAAAACAAATCGAGTATCTTTCTACCTATCTATTTAATAGATTTGTAAGCCAGAATTTCATGAATTGTGCTTTAGATTTAAAAAACGTAATGAATCTGGTAGTAGGAGACTCTTTTGATTAGTGTAATTCTGTGCAGCAGTAACAACTTGCAGTGACAAGTTTGAATAAATTTTGTCTTATTTATTTTTATTTTTCAACCCAACCAGATCCAAGAGCTTTGTCTTTTAAAAGATAGAAGACTGAATGGTCTCTCTCGTGAGTCCTTGATGTGTGCCATGGACTAGTGAACCATACCATCCTCTGGAGAGACTTTGAATTAAGGGGTATTCACTTGTTTGATCCTGTAGCTGTCTCCATTGCTTTTCTCTTTTCATCTTTCCATCTCTAAACTAACCATTTATTCTCGTTGCAATAGTATTTATATTGCCTCATTTCTTTTACAATTATTTTTATCGGTTAAGTACTAATACAAGATTACTGTTATATATGTGCACAAATACGTAAGGCCTAAGAGTGACTGCCTATAATGTGGATTTAAAATTCACCCCTAAACCTTAATACGGAAAATGTGTTTGGAATAAGTGTCTTTGTCAGGTTTTTCCCTGAGGTCTGGGAAAGTCTTAATTTTGAAGAGTTTTCTCGGTTTTTGACAAAACAATTTATATTTTTTACATATTTGAAGGGAAAGCAGAAAGGAGTATTGATATCATATTGAACAAATACACACAAATCCAATGTTCCAGAAATTTGGTCTTAAATAGATTTCTGGTCTGAAATAAGAATCTCTAGTAAAGAATTTTACATTAAAATTTTACATTTTAATTAAAATGTAACTCTTAATTCCCAATTTAAATATATTGAAAATTATATATATTTTACATTAAAATTTTACATTTTAATTAAAATGTAACTTTTAATAAGAATCTACATTTATCTAAAGTTAATCTACATTAATCTCCAGTAAAGAATTTTACATTAAAATTTTACATTTTAATTAAAATGTAACTTTTAATTCCCAAATTATATATATTTAAAATTATATATATTTTACATTAAAATTTTACATTTTAGTTAAATTGTAACTTTTAATTCCCAAATTATATAGCTATGGAGCTTAATTTTCTTCATATTTGAGGAAATTCATCCTTAAATTTAGCCTCCTGTTTTTTTGTGACTTTCTAAATTTGAGAATGGAAGGACCACCGTGTTAGCAATTTTCCTTTGTATATCTTGTATTTTGCGTATGTATAGTACAAAGGACTTTGATATATCTGGATAACTTTTGAGCTAAGATAACACAAATAATGTCACAGGAAGAACAATGTCTAATAATAACTTCATAATTAGGTATCCTTTCATTTTTTAAAAATCAGTTTGAGTTGTCTAAAGATATATACATGTTAATATTTAGGTTTATTGATATGCTTATTTTAAAATCAGTACAACAAAAGATAAAAGCTTCATCTCTTAGTACGAATCCTAGCGCTGAACCTATGAAAGAAATGAATGCCACCATGCTGAGATTTTAAACAATGGTGGCTTAACTATCCTTGTATATATGTTTCTCCAGGTCTAGGATTGCCTTAAAATAAATTTCCCAGAAGTAGAATTTCTGGACTTAGGTCATATTTCTAAATTACAGATACAGCTGGGTCTGGGTAAAGTATAAGTTGATACATCCATTTTATCTTTTCAAAATGAGGTAATTTGGGCGATGTGGTCCATCTATATGCAATGGCACAAAATGATAGAGCCATAAACTAGGAAATTAAAAAAATCAAAATAAGAAAAGCAGCCGATTAAAAACTATGATATGTTGGTAAGGGAAATGTTTTAGGACATGGTATGACAGGGCAATGAGTATTTGTAAAGGGAGCAGAGCAGAAGATTTGGAACTGCCTGGCACATGCATAGAGAGGTGAGCAGAAAAAAGAGCGGACAATTTACGAAGAGTTTTATACAACTTTATTGAGATAGCAGTAAAAATGAAGAACACATCATTGAAATAAATGATCTAGGATAGCAGATGTGCTGAAGCTTTTAAGTATATAAAAGTCTAGATAAAAATGAAGTGGAACAGCTTGGGAAGACAAACACAGCAGCACTACGTTCTGTGTGTGTCGTGTAGACACACAGACACACAAACCCACAAGGTTTATATACAAACACATTTTGGTGATAAGCAAAAATAACATTCAAATATAAAATACACCAATATGTTTTTATTATGTAAACCTGTGGAGAAAGAATTAGCTATGAGGATACATATTAGATATAAAAATAATTAACAATTTTAAATTATGACAAATGTGATTCTTCCCCATTCCTCCTGTAACAAAGGTGGAGAAGGAGAGCAAGTATTATTTTCTCTACCATCACTTCAAATTTAACAAGGTGAGGTCCTGGAGGCACATGAACAAAAGGCAGGTGCATTTTTCTTAAATGATTATGAATGAGAAACCGGGAGCCCACATCTCAATTGTAGGGAATGTTTTCCTCTTGTCTTAGGAGAATATGGTACCTGAAGCAAACTGGTAAGATGTATAGTGTATTATTATTAGCTATGAAGATAAATAACAGTCATATATTTGGGGGGTTTACTTACTTGATGGTTGTTTATCCCATTGTAGTACAAATTCCACTGAAGGTAAGAGGGTCTGCTTTCAGCGCAGGAAAGAAGGTGAGATAGAGTATTCTGGCCTGATTGGATTGGAAGTTAATGGTGTCATTGACTTTTCCAGGCACAGAGAAGAAACAGATTTGGGGATAAGTTATAAAATCTACTTGAGATATACTGATTGTGAGGTGCCTTATGGGAATTCATATAGTAAAAAGATTATTAGTTTATTTAATTTTGCTGCTCCCTTGATAAAACTTTAACTCAACCTACAGATAAGGAAAAAATGGCATGAAATCAGAATCTGATCATCTGTATTAAATACAGGTTGTTTTGGACCTGTTAGTAACCCCAGTCTGAAAACCTATATTCTGTAATGAAATATATTTTCCTTAAAGCATATTGTTTTCCGTATATAACACCACTAATAACACAGTATTAAGTTAAAGTTAAGCAAGGTTTCAGTCTTCAGGAGGAATTAATAAAGTTTAGTCTTTCGGTAGATTAGAAAATGATGAGTTTTTTTAACAAGCAGGGTCAAATTAGTCAATTTTGTTATACTGGGAAATACAAGTTTAATGGGATAGTTACTCTGAAAGTAGGTTTTGCTGGGACCAGGAATCAGGTGCAACTAAGTGAACAACAGCCAGCCTCCATCCAAGCAAGAGCCCATACAATCGTAGACCCACATAGAAGGAAGAGCTGCTGATACCATTATAGCTAAGATAAAGAATTTTACATAAATATGTGGTGTGTATATGTGTACTAATCTTGACAACTCTATGAGATATTACCATGCCCATTTTACAAATGAGTAAATGGAGACACAAAAAGATGAAATAAGGTGTCCGTGGTCACATGCTAGTAAGTTGCTGCTCTGGAATTTGAACACAGGAAATCCTGGCTCCACTGTCTATGATCCTACCTCCTACAATATACTTATATCTGTAAAGTGGGAATTAAGTTGATTTAATTGAACTAACCATGAAAATGTGGAGGTGAAATCACAACATGGAACCTCTTTATCAGTCTTTATTTTTTGAGATAGTTTCAATTTAATGAGATATTTCACTTTAGGTTAGTTCAATGTAATTTGAACATATACAGTTTAATATTATGGTCAAGATTTCCCTGCCTCTCTCAGCTGTCTGACTTTGGGCAAATAACTTGACTATCCCTAACTCAAATTTCTTATTAAATAGGTAAATAATGTTATTACTTTATAAGAATCTTGTGCGGATTGATAAGGTAGATAAAACATTTGACATAGTGATTACTGTATAAACGTCAGAATTATGCTTAGATTTTTTTTGTCAATCAGAAAATTAAAATTTCAATGTTTGATTATCAAATCTGTTGACAGATGGATGAAAGGGAGATGAAACGGGTCCACTCTGCAGCAATTCATATTTAACCTTTCCTTCCAAAGTCCTCTCGGTTATCTATGAAGTGATAGGAAAAAGCATATGAAGTATTATATGAAGTATTAATTTAGTTTATCAACAAATATAAAGGCATAGTGTTGGTGAAGGGAGGTGGGAAGGACAGATGTGCATTCTTACTGGAATTTAAAACCTTGAAGATAATAAAAACACTGAACAAATAATAAGAGTTATGTCTGGAAAAAGAAGGAAAAGGAAATTTAAATGTTAATAATGGAGGAAAATGAATACCCAAAGAATGAAAGGGCACGGAACGGCGGAAAGATTGAAGGAGTAATAGGCGTTAGGGTTGCTAGTGATTTCTGCGCCCAAGGCTCTCCTTAGTCGTGAAATATGGCGTGAGGAGTTGAGCTTCCTTTATGTGGCTTCTAAGTGTCAGTCCGAAGATTAACTCTCCCTTCCCGGAGAAACACAGTCCGCACTAGCCACTGTTACACCTGCATTAAGTTTCAACCTCCTTTCGGTCTAGACACGCCCCTTTAATCTTGACCGCGCCTCTTGAATCGCTAAACTCGTCGTAAATCAAAATATCGCGAGAACTCGTCAATGGCCTCCCTTCTGACGTCTTCGGAGAGGAGTCTCTTTTCTCGCGATATTTCCGGGTACACGGGAGCCCGGGCGACCCGGGCTTCTGTGAAACATGGCGGTCGGCTGGGACCGTAACACAAGGTAAAATACTGAAACCCCGCTGGGTGCTGCTCGTTGGCTTGTTCCAGAGCTGCTCAGGGCGTGAATGCGGTTGAGGGGACTGAGAACCTGGCATTGGCTTGGCTCCTTGTTTTCATCGCTGTCTGGAGAGCGGGCCGGACCTAGAAGCCTCTCCTGCCCCCCGGGGGCGTTACTGGCAGGACCCTGGGCAGCGATGCTACCCGGAGCTCCCCTCTGCCTAGTCCGGGTGCCTTGGTGGTATCTTACTACTCGAAGGAGTTCAGATGCTTCCTCGATAGTGTCCTAGTGCTTCTCACAGTGCCTTGGTGGCTTCTCCAGTCCTCAGGCGAGTAGGGTCCCTTGTGAAGACCACCCTGTCCTCCTGGGTGCCAGGCTCCCTACCCCATTTCAGACGAATAACCACTTTCTTGGCAACACGTTGTCTCTCTTTTTAAAGAAAGAATGAGGTCTTGGCCTCCTCTCTAAGGAGAGTTTCGCGTGCTGCTCCGGAGAGGAAAAAGGGGCAGGGCAGTGCGAGATGCTACAAGAGACAGGTTCGAGTGTCACTACTTTTCTCAAAGCAAGAAACCCTCCGAAGTAGAGCATAGCCGTGGGTTAGTGGTAGTATGGAAAGTTGATAGGTCATTGTTTGAGAAAACACGTTTAAATAACTTTTATATTGAGGATTCGGAGGTCTGGAGACTTAAAGTGCCATAATTCAATCTGTCAAAGTGTTGCAAGACTAGCTTTCAGAAGCAATTAAATTTACAGTTAAAAAACATGATTTATTCATTTCTTTGAAGTTGAGGTTCACTATTTCAATTAATTGCCGAGCCTGGTACATTGAACT